TTAAGCAAGACCCTTGGTTTATTGTGTTGGATGACTGGCAAGGACTCTCCGGTTACTTTCACAGCCCTAACAGGTTCAGATTTCCAGGACTGAGCTGACTGCATGCAGTGCAAGAATTTTATTGTTGAACTATGGCTTTCTCTCATATTGGTATCTGTGTAGGTGGGTAAATATGTGTGCATGCACTGGAAGCTGTCCAACTGTCTTTCCAAACGAATGTCCCCCATTTTAGTTAATTGGAATGCATTCATATAATCTTCCAAAGAATGAGGTTGGGATGAAAGCTAAATGTAGTTGGGTTACACACGACCCCAGCCTCTGACTCTTCATCTCATTAGCTCTTGTGAGTGCAAGCTGTCACAGTGTGCATGAAGGCAAGACAAGTCAAGGCAGGGTGGCCCGAATTATGTGTAGTGGCAATCATTCACCTATTCCTCCAGCACCAGAGGTGATAGCAAGCCCTCATTTCTGCTCCATCTGACCACTACAACAAGATCTCAGAAGCACTTACCTGTTTTTTCCGAACTGATCACTATTCCTGGGATTTCTGTGAAAATGGCAGGGCTGCTAGTCAGGATGGGAAGCTCTTTGGGGCCACTGTGGACTACAAAGAGTACAATAAGAAGAGGGAAAGGGGGTGGGAAAAGAAATCTAACAGTACTTTAACGAGTGATTTATAGTTTAGCACGAACTTCTTCTGAAACCAGCCCAGTTCCTCAGATGATTCTTTTAAAGCAGTGTGTTAGGACTGATGTGGAAAAGCAATAAATCTGCTCACCAAAAAATCTTTTGAGCCTCAGGGGTCAACACCTTCTGTTATATGTGAAGTTTTGAGGTGGTGTTGTGTGTTTTCAAGTCGTTTCCAATTTATGGCAAACCTAAGGTGGGGTCTTCCTCTGAGGCTGAAGATGTGATTTGCCCAAGGTCACCCAGTGGGTCTCCATGGCCAACCAGGGATTCAAGCCTGATCTCCCAGAGTCCTAGTCCAACATTCAAACCATTACATCATACTGGTTTGAGGACTCATGTATTAATTTCAGGGGAGGTACTTAACATACCTATAGACAGCATGGTGTAGTACAACTCTGGAGACCAAGGTTCAATTCCTGTCTCAGCCAAGGAACCCCACTGGGCAACTTTGGATGAGTCACACACTCAACCCCAGAAAACCCAACGATAGGTTCAATCTGGCATCGCCATAAATCAGAAACAACTTGAAGGCACACAACAACAAAAACGTTAACATACCACAGCTTAGGTACTGCTGCTAACCCCATTTGTCATCCCATGGTAAAACTAGTAAGTTACAATTCAAGATCAAGCCATGACGTACCTTCCATTACAACTGGGATAGCTTGCAACAATAAATTGTTGTTAAAACCACCCCCAAAGTACTGTTGCTAAAATCTGTGAGAAAGAGAAAGCCTGAAGGAGGGCCAGGGGGGTGATGACATAATCATCTCTTCTAATTAAAAAGTTTAGGCACTTAAACCATGCTCTACTACACTGCTATCAATTGGTCTTCCCTTCTGCTCTGAGGTTGACTATAAAAGATTTGAGGACCATAGCTTCATTAGACACTGATAGTCCAGCTGAAATGAACTAGCAGCCTTGAGTCCAAACATACGGTCCCAGTTTTCTAGCTCCTCACTTTCACTGTCGCTATATGGACGCAGAGCCTTTGGGCGAGCAGCTTGGCATCCCGATAGTGCCACTTTCAGCGCAACCTTCTGGTTCCAACTCTGGGGTATGATGCGCAGGTAGCGGGCCAGGATAGGTGGGATAAACGCATTGGAGACTTCTTGGTGGCTGTCATTATTTCCTTCAAAGATCTGAGAGGTTTACAGAGTAGGAAGGAAGAAGAGAGATCAGGAAAAAAGAGGGTCAATGATGATCATTCCTTTCCTTTCTTTTATTCTTCTCTTTCACCTCCTCCATTTCCTTACCTCTTCCCCTTCCCTTAAGACTAAAATGTTATTATTTAATGATATACAAGTGAAGGAAGTATTGGAATCCAGGAAGTTTATGTTTACATGTTTTAAATGGTGATGGGTATATGTTGGTATAATTTACTGATGTTTGTGTGTATAGTTTATAGTGTGTGTAATGTATTTTGATGTTGTTAATTGTTGTATAAATGTCGTGGGTTTTTTATGCATTAAATGTTTAATAAAAAAATAAAATGTAATAGGCACATTTCACTAAATATAAATGCAGCCTAAGACTAGAGCTGGCAAAAGTAACTTTTTGGACTACAGTTCCCAGAACTCCCTAGCCAATGCTGGCCGTGTGTGTGTGTGTGTTAGTGAGGGAACTTTCTGTATTCCAAAAAGTAACTTTTCCAAGCTCTACATAAAACTTCAAAACAGAGATGGGAGATAGTAATTACAGGAAGCTGAAGAAATAGATGAGAAAATTGTATATAGACATTAAAACCTCTGAGAAATAAACTATTAACTGAAGGAACATGGTCTGCAAGATCAGAAATAATCAATTTATAACAAGGGAGGCACATTCTAATGCAACCTTTCCCAACCTGGTGCCCTCCAAGTGTGCTAGACAACAACTACAAGTTGTTGACCTGTGTGGCCTTTAATGATTTCTCTAGTACAGATCTGGAACTATGTCCAAGCTGCATTGCCAACAATGAAGAATATTGGGAGCTGCAATTCAACAATGTTTGGAGGGCCATAAAATTCCCTCCCTTACTCCAGAATGACCTCGGTTATTGATGTTCTTCATCCTAGCCATAACCACTCCCCAATTCCAATTGAACCTCACCTTAGCTTCATTACCACCATTGGCTTTGTAAACTTTCCAATTTTTGCCGTCCCTGCTTGAGAGAACTTGGTAAGATTTTACGTAATAGTTGTGTTGATGAGAAGATCCTTTGGTTATAATTCCTGAAAGAGATACAGTGACATCTAAGATATATGTACAGTTTAAGGAACTGAAGCAGAGCCAGGATGTTCAGCAACAGAAATTTAATAGGCCAGCGGATCCTTTTTCCAACAGCGATCAACCAGAACTTTCTGAAAAACTAACAAAAAGGACATGAATGCATCAGGCCCCTTGTAGCTTCCAAGAAGAGATTTCAAAAGAGAAGATCATGTGTTAAAAGGCAGCTCCTGGAACATTTTTACTTACGTTTTTAAAACTGTACCTTTTTAAAAGCATCTTTTGTAAGTCTCTTTGGGTCTAATTTAGAAAAAAAGGTGACACAAAAACAAAATAATAAAAAATAAAAATAAATAGGAAGCTGCTTCATAGCAGTTCATTTGTCCATCTATACCTGTATTATCTATTCCAAGGATGCAGAAACTTTCTTAGGCTAGGGACCAAACTTAGCTTCAGACAGGTTACTAGGGGCCATGTTCCATTGATGGTGGACTTGAAGGCAAAAGAGTGAGAACAAAAATAACAGCATTTTATTTTATTCTCAATAACTAAGTCTTAGAAGAGGCATTACAGTCTTTTAGAATGAGGTAAAAGAAATAAGTAAAAGCTGGGAAAATGTGAAATGATGGAGTCATGGCGACTGCGGCCATTGTAGAAACCCACAATGTCAGATTAGGAACCCAGGAGAAGGGGATTCTGCCCCAGAACCAAATTTCTGTTGGTATGTCTATGCCTGTGGCAGGTTCGGGGAGGGATGCCAGTCTCTGAATCTGTCAAAGCAGCTCATATTCTAGTAACTATAGCTGGTCGGACACAACTTGACAACCTTGTCAATGGAGATTAACTTTACCTCCATATCCACAGATTCTATATCCATGGATCTAACCATCCATGACTTGAAAATATTCCAAAAAGATATTACATTCTAAAACGCAAACCTTGATTTTTCTTGAAATCCAAAAAAATCTGGCGGTAGCTGTGCTGACCATATAGCAATTCCAGTAACAGTTGGGTGGATTTTTGTTGTTACTGGACTTGATTTTTCTATTTTATATAAGGAACGTCATTTCATTACGCCATTGTATTTAATGGGACTTGAGCATTCACAGATTTTGGTATCCTTGGGGGGTGGGAATGGTCTTGGAACCAAACCCCAGACCACTGTGTTTCTAGATATGCCTATAGACACACAAATTGAAAGCCGGCATAATGTGAGGGTTTGATATTGGATCAGAACTCCAGGAGTCTAGTGTTTGAATTGCCACTCAGCCACGGAAACCCAATGGGTGGCCTGGGGCAAGTCACACTCTCTCAGCCTTAGAGAAAGGCAATGGCAATCCTCCTCAAAAATAAATCTTGACAAGAAGATCTTATGACAGAGTCAGTCTGTTGGTGCGTAGATGCCTATGGCATCTGACTTTCAAGTCAAAGTCAACTTGAAAGCACACAACAGCAGCGTACAAATTTATTTATTTAATGTATTTAATTAATTTCTATGCTACCTTTCTCCCAGAAAAGGACCCAAGGCAGCTTGCAAGATCAAAAACATTTTTTTAAAAACTTTACAATAAGAATTTAAAAACAATTAAAATTATTTAGTTAAAACAGTATAAAATTAACACAAAAACATACAAAAGTGAAAAATACAGCAGGGGGGACACACTTTTTCTGACTACTGCTTCTAGAATTGCTCAGCCAACTTAGTCACTTCTGGAATTCAGGGAGTTGTTGTTCAATAAATAAATAAATAAATAAATAAATAAAATAAAATAAAATAAAAATTTAATGCTCTGTAAATGTACATTGGTCTGTGTTCTTTTTTTGTCCTGTTTTCCAGATGCAAATCCTGCTTAATGGTAGTGCATAAGTAGCCAGCATGGCGTAGTGATTGGAACATTGGACTACGACTGGAGACCACAGTTCAATTTCCAGCTCCACCATAACCTTGGGGAAGTCACATACTCTCAGCCTCAGGGGAAGGCAATGGCAAACTTGGTAAGAGATTCCAACTCTGGTTGTTTCAGTAACCAGGATGCCTGGGAATGGTAAGGAAAGGTAGGTCAATTTGATTATGCCTCAGATTACAGGAGGCCGAGAGAGTGAGATGAGACTCAGTATGGTTTGAGCGTTGGATTACAAATCTGGAGACCAGGGTTCGATTCCCAGCTTGGCCATGAGACCCACTGGGTGACTTTGAGCAAGTCACACACTCTCAGCCTCAGGGGAAGCCAACGGCAAACCTCCTCTGAACAAATCTTGCCATGAAAATGCCACGATAGGTTCGCCTTAGGGTTGCCATAAATTGGGAACGACTTGAAGGCACACAACAACAACAACAAGCAGCTCCCCTGCCCTAGTTTCAAATCTATCCATCTGGATGTTTTAACACCCATCTCCCTGCTCCAGTAAGAACCAGTCAGAGAAGGCCATCTGATAACATCCTCTCCCCTCCCTTCCCTTTCTGCATTCCACTTAGCCTCCAGCCACACAGCCTCACAAAGCCTCTATTTTTCCTAACAAGCTTCATTCTAGGTTTCCTACACAAAAGCCTCAATTTGCCCTCCGCTTTCGAGAAACAAAGAGTGAATTTGCTGGGACATAATATCGAGCCTGTTTAGCTGTGCAACAGTTGGCCTGATCTGCCCTGGCTCTATCCTCCTGGTAACAGGGACGGAGGGAGGAAGGAAAAGGAAATCAAGGGGGAAATGACTAAAAGAGAGAACAGATGCAAATAAAGAAGGGAGGAAAGCAGGGATGAGAAGTATAAAAAGGACCATTATGTGGCCTGTTCAACCCAGGGAGAAGCTCTCAACAGAGAATGCTGTTGTACTGTGAAGTATGCATGAAGGATGGAGGCTGGGAGAGAGACCCAACAATGCAAATCCCATGCATGTTTCCTCAGAAGTAAGCCTTGCTTCATTTACTGGGGGTTGACTTTTACAACGTTTAGAATTACAGCCTAAGGTGCTGTATTGCAGCGGGTTATCTGTGCACTGACTTCCAAAGGTGGGACTAGGAATCATGCAGCTGTTGGATTGCAGCTCCCAGAATTCCTTGCCATTGGCTATATTGGCTAGATCTGGTGGGAGTTGCAATCCAACATAATTTAGCCATACAATTACTACCCCTACTCTAGACTATATACAATCCTCCGGATTTCTTGTCCCCGTTGCCAGAGAGCCCTGCCAAGGCAAACAACCCTGTTTAATACACCTCACACATTAAGGACATTGATGTGGCATCTGGATTCTGCAGCAAAGGTTGGTCACGCTGGGCAATCTTCATCTTGGAACAGTGTTGTAAACTTCTGTTTTAGATGTAGAGAAGGCACTCCTCTAGAAATATCACATGCAAAATTTAGGAGTGCTAGTCTCCTCCTGGATGTTCAAGTTGGGGCATGGTTCAATGTTATGGCATTCTGTGATTTGTAGTTTTGTGAGATATTTAGCCTTCTCTGTCAAAGGGAACAAACTATGAATCCCAGGATCCCATAGCACTGAGCCATGGCAGCTAAAGTGGTGTTTACTTGGATTATTTGTTTTGAGCTGGCTGTGTGCCGTAAATAAAATTTTGATTTGATTTGGATTATTTGTGCAGTGCAGATGAAGTCCCAGTGACCTCATGAATTTCATATGGTTTTTTAAGGCAAGGAATACTCAGAGGTGGTTTTGCCAGTTTCTTCCTCTGAAATACAGCCTACAGCACCTGGTATTCATTGGTAGTATTGGTAGTATTCCATCCATCCTAACTAGGGACGTTATCACACGTGGGCCAGAAACCGAAAATAAAGTGGAAATGAG